TGATTTTTTGATTTATTGTAGAGATGAGGTCTCACCAAGTTGCCCAGGCAGGTCTCAAACTCGCAGGGTCAGGCAATCTACTCACCTCAGCCTCCCAAGACGCGGGATTACAGGCTGAGCCACCAAGCCCGGCTAAGAAACATTTCTGATGTGAGAGCCATCAAGAATTTACTGATTACTCTTGCAGACCCTGGGGGATAGAAGTTATTAGTATTATCCCCTTAGTTCTATGACTGTCCTAACTCAAGGGAGGCTAAGTAAATATTTGGTGACAGACTGATGGCCCCAATTGTTAGAATGAAGGACCAAGGTTTTAAAAATCACACACACCCAGGGGAGATTCTGAGAAAACAAGAGTAGAATGGAGGAGAGAACAATCTTTAGAAGTGGAGTCTGAGAACTCCCAGTAATCCTCATCTGGAACATAAATGTGAAACTATCATTAAGCACAGTGCCAGGCACATTGCAAATCTTAAATAAGAAAATTATATGATGCCTGTTCTTTTTCCCTGCCTTCTTCTGCTGTATACTCCAACATGTCTGGAAAGTTGTGTACATATGAGGGGTTTTAGGTAGGAGTGGGAGTCACAATCCAGGTTGTATTAGAGAAGCACTGTTCAGAAAGAAGTGCAGAAAACCTAACTGGCTTTTTTTTTTTTTTTTTTGAGTTGGAGTCTCACTCTGTCGCCCAGACTGGAGTGCAGTGGCCGCTCCCTGCCACGCAGCCTCTACCTGCTGGGCTCCGGCAATCCTTTCGCCTCAGCCTTCCAAGTAGCTGGAACTACAGGAGCGCTACCACGCCCAGCTAATCGGCTAATTTTTTAATTTATTGTAGAGATGAGGGCTCCCCAAGTTGCCCAGGCGGGTCTCGAACCCGCGGGCTCAAACAAATCCACTCACCTCAGCCTCCCAAAGCGCAGGATTACAGGCTGAGCCACCAAGCCTGGCTTAACTGGCATTTTTAATTGAGTTGTCATTGGACATTCAAGAGGAGGCATTTGGAGAGTGCTTGGGTATTTGACCTGGAACTCATGACAGAGAAACGAAAAGGAGGTAAGTTCATATGTTTGGAAGTCTTCAGCACTAGATGGCCACTGGATTCATGAAAAGAAGATGGGATCACTCGAGGGTAGAGAAAGGGTAAGAAATAAACCAAAGGCAGATCTCTGGAAAGCTTTAGATACTTAAGAGTTAAACAAAGGGGACCAGCCAGAGAGGAGGTAGGAAAATCAAGAGTACAGTGTTTTGGAAACAAACGGAAGAAGAAAAATGAGGAAGACATGATCAGGTGGTGTGAAATGCAAAAAATCCATTGGCATCAACAGCAAAGGGGGTTAGTCATGGTGGGACCAGTTTCAGTAGGATGAGGCAAGCAGAGTGCACATATTGGGTTGGACTGAGAAGTAAGGAACTAGAGACAGACAACATAGAAGCTCCTCTTCCAAGACTTTTTCTTACTCCTAGAAAGGGCACAAACGTCTTTTGTTGTACCAAGTATTTTGATTTTTGGGTTTGAGAGTATAGCTTTTTTCCATTATTCCAGGCAGCTTATAAATTCAGAGAATTAAATGACTTGTGGAGAAGGAGAGGACAGAAGAGATTCCAGGGTGCTGTCTGCATTTAAGATAATAAGCAATAAAGGCTGAAAAAAAATCTTCCCCGACTCTTAGATTTTTTAAAGCTAGAAATGAGTTTCTTGTGATGGCAAAGTAGCAACTATTATTGATAACCTATCATTTCATAGTGCTCAGGGGTCTATATTTAATCTTCATACCAACTTATAAGAAACAGAATATTTGCCCCAATTGCAAAAGAGTAAATAGGCTCAGAGAGGTTTGGTGTAGCTGATCACCCAGCTAGCACATGGTGAAGTCACTTTATGAATATTGAAACTATATTTTCTTCATCATACCCAGTGGGACTTGGACAGCAGGCATTTCTCCCTCTGAGACAGGATATTTCAGCTTCGAATTTGTGAGAGAGAGAGAGAGAGAGAGAGGGACAGAGAGAGAGAGAGAGAGCGCGAGAGCGATCCGCTTGGGATCACAGTTAATATGTGATTCCCTAGCTAGAAGAGGGCAAGCTGCCATTTGAGAAGGAATTGATAAAACATACAAAATGAAACAAAGTCAGAACCAAAAAAAGGCATCATGCAAGGTTAAAATTATGTGAATAATGATGTGCATTAGTTATTTTAATATCTTCCAAGTGCATTTCATTTGAAATGATATACTCAGATAGCACACATGGTAAGGTATAATTGAAAAAACATGTAGGGGAATGGCTGAATTCAAAGAATAAACATACAGCTGTGAGGAGGTTAGGAGTCAAAGGGGTAAGCATATGCCCCATCCCCCAGGGATCTCATTAGTGCATGAGTGACCATATATGTGGAGGCTAAATGAGTCTCACTGTTTGCAAAGACCCGCAGTAAATGAGACAATGACGAATCAATAGTAATTAGGCCTATAGGTTCTTATTGACCCAGATGTCTGAAACCAAATGCCCTGTTCTGGGATTCCTTGGGATGCAGAATGAAAAGATTTATAGACATGTGCTTCTTTAGAGGAAAAAAAACAAAACAAAACCTTTTACTCTAAGAGCAGTAATGCTGTTCTGAAGTGGAGTGAAAAGTTGCTAGAATTAGTGCAGACTCAACTTCTGGTTAGAAAAGATGTTCTGTGTTGTGAGGCTTCGACAAGTAATTTCTGACCTGAGATATGGAGAGTACATGGCTTCAAAATCACACAGAGAAGGATTTAAATTTGGAGTTGGTCTTGTCTTTTCACCCCCTTCGAAGTCCTCTCTATAAAGGGATGGGAGTGATGCCTCTCTCACTAGGCAGTGGTGGAAGGCCTAGAGTGTACTCAAAATGGAACTGGTATTGCTGTGGTTGTTGAGCTTTTTTCCAGTAATATCTTTTATTTTTTTTTGAGTTGGAGTCTCACCCCGTCTCCCAGACTGGAGTGCAGTGGCACACTCACGGCCACCCCAGCATCAACCTGCTGGGCTCCAGTGATCCTTCTGCCTCAGCCTTCCAAGTAGCTGGAACTACAGGTGCATGCTAGCACACCTGGCTAATTTTTGATTTATTGTAGAGATGAGGTCTTGCCAAATTACCTGGGTTTGTCTCGAACTCACGGGCTCAGGCAATCCACTCACCTCAGCCTCCTAAAGTGCTGGGATTACAGGCTGAGCCACTGAGCCCGTCCCAGGAATATCTTATTCATGTTAATCTGATCTAAAGTAGAAGATTTTGACAGATGGAAATGAGGTGTCACAGCAAGAAGCAAAGAGGTTACTGTTAGGTAGGACTACCCTCACTTCCACCTCAGCACACATCACATGCATGCACACACACACGCTTTTGCTTTCACACACACCTGTGCTGACACAGAGCGGTTTTAATTTTCTGTATTTCTATATGAATTTTCATGTAAAATTTTTATTTAATAAAAGGTCCACTGATAAAGGGGAAAGAGAGTTTAGAAACCCCTGCTCTATTTGCTTGTTTGTTTTCTTACACTTAGTGCAGAAAATTTTCAGCAACTTCATGGGACTAGAGACATGATATCACATACTAGAACTAGAAATCTCTGAGGCTTCCTTCTAAAACAGTTGTAAAATGCAAAACATGAATAATGTCATAGGTATCTTACATATTAACCCTCTTGGGAATATTGATTTTCTATACTTTTCTTCTGCCATTATTCAAGCCATGTTTTAAACCTTTAAAGAGAGTTCCAAGGACCCTAGTGGCAAGTAGCACAGACACCAATCTCTGAAATACCCCCTTTCTTTGGAATCATTGGTTCTAAGTTTTTGCAAAGGCAGCACCTTTAAAGAGGGGAATGCTAGCCAGCTTTAATCTTTGGGCCATGCGGTATGATTTAACCCACAGAGGAAGGTATTATTTAACCTATTTTAGGAATGGGAAAATTAGAGTTCAGAGAAGTTGAACCACTGGCCCATGTTACCCAGCTTGCAGAGGTAATACCAAGATCTAAACTTAGCAGTACCCCCAAGCCCACCTTCTTCTCTCTGTCTCCCTCTGCCCTGTAAACATAAAGAATGAGGGAGTTAGTCTGACTCTCTCATTCTACACTTGAAGAAACTGAGGCTCAAAAAGGACAAAAAGCTAATACAATATGATTTGGTGATTTTAGGTTGGAAATCAAGTCTCTAATTCCTAATCTTAACTGCGTTCATAATATTCATTCACTCCCCTTAGCAAACTTCTGTCCTGAACCTGAGAACTTATATTTGTCATGTCATCATTATTATTATAATTAGGAATACTGATTTTAGTAAATTGTTTACATATGTAAAGTGTTGTACAGTTTACCAAATACTGTACCTTCACATATATAATCATCTTTGATCTTGACAATAACCCTATGAGGTAAATTGGACAGGGATTATGCTATCTGGTTTTACAGATGGGAAAAGGGTGATTCAGAAAGTTTGAATAACCTTCTCATGGTTATGCATCTACTAGCAGTAAAGCCATTCCTGGATCCAGTTTTCTAACTCCAAATCTTTCCACTGGACATGGCACCTTTCCTTGGTGATAGTGGAATGCGTTTTCAAGAGTAAACAAGCGAGTGTCTCTGGATGTGGAATAGTTTCTTTGTTGAAGCTTTTGGGACCTTGCTTACTTTCTGGGTCTGATAGAGAAGTACAGATCGTTTCTTTCTGCAGAATAATTTGCTCCCCGACCCTACCCCCCTTGTAAAAATAAAATCCACTTCTCTTCCAGATGCCAGAGTGTATATGCGTATTTGAACAGTCACCTGGATCTGATTAAGAAGGCTCAGCCTGTGGGTTTCCTCACTGTTGATTTACATGTTTGGCCAGATTTCCATGGCAACCGGTCTCCTTTAGCAGACCTGACACTCAAGGGCATGGTAAGTAACAGCCAGTCCTTGCACGTTGGTGAAGGCAAGCCAAAAGGCTACAAAGTTTGGAAGAAGCAAAGTGACGGGAAAGAAAAAGAGGAAAATGAAATAGGCCAATGGCCTGCTGGCTTTCTGTGGAAGCTTTGCTGTTGTGAAGGCTGTTGCTGCTTCCCGGGGTGATCTGCTGAAAGTTCCCATTGTTTCTGAGCCAGCCTTGAGAGTGTTGAATGCAGTATTTCCTGAGTTCAGCTACTACTGCCTCCGTGTCCCATGGAGTGGCTGAAAGTCATGCCTGTGTCACTTTGGTATTCACGTCGGTTTGTAAAGTCATGTTTTCCAGCTGCATCTTCAGGTTGCCCAGTAAGTTAGTGGTAAATACTACCACCCATGGCCTTGCTGGCTACAGCTTCACATCTGCCTAGGCTCTGAGTCAGGGCTGTTCAGAGTCAATGCTAGTACTTAGGGTTTCAGATTCAACTCTGGGAAAAGTAAGTAAGATTTGTAACTTACGGTGGATGATACATTTTGCTGTTGGTAACCTTTAGGGTCACTTCCACTGTGGGGATTCTGGGTCCTTCTGGAGGGACTAGATGAACTTGGTGGGAGAGCTTATCACCATTTAAGCTGAGAGATGACTATCTTGGAAACCAGATGTGATTGGGTAGTTGGGAGCAGTATAACCATCAGGAATCACATTTGAGGATGAATGAAGCAGTTTGAAGCCAGATAAGGGGCCAAGCACAACCACAAATAAGAAAATAAGCAAAGGAAACCCCTTCATGTCTCCTCCCACTGTGGGAGCTTTTCTGTCCTCTTAATAAGTCCTGCTTTCTAAGAAAGGAA